ATATGGTAGTTCTATTTGTAGTTTTTTAAGTCACAGACCAAACAGTGTTTGAGCTTTCTCCAAGAATTTGCAGGACTACTCCCGCACAGAGAGGCAATTCTTACCTCTGCCGCAGACCCAGCTGTTCCGGTCAGCGTGGCCCACAACTCGCGTCTTCAGTGGCTTTCCAGGCCAGCTGGCCCTGGAAACTGCCTCCCTGGCTACATCTCTTTCATCAAGGACACGCTGAAGACTGTTCACTTAGCCCTAGGTCCCGGTCTGCTCTATGCGGTGGTTTTCTGGAGGCCACCTGATATCTTGCTAAGAACACCTAGGTTTCAAAGGAAAAAAATAACGTAGGTGTTTCCTGCTCCTCTAATCAAAAGTTTCTCATTCTTTGGGAAATGATTTCACCTCTCTGAAACTCACCTCCTCGTCTCTGAAAGGCTAATAATTTTAAATACTAGTGCTTACCTCAAGGGAGGATATAAAACACCAAATGAGATGAGCGATGTGAAAGGCACAGCACGAATATTAATCACCTTTGTTAGGTTTTGAGGATGATGGACGATGACTTCAAACGTTGTAAATGCTGAACTTGTAAGGACAGTGTGAAGCTTTTGGAACTTTCTCAAATAGACAGATATGAATCTCAGTTGAATTCACTATTTATGTCTCTTCTAGCATCTCAGTTTCCAATCCGGTCTGGATTTCATTCCAACCATTTACTAGCCTTGGACAAGTTATTCTAAGTTTCCTCTCGGGTATCATGGGGATAATTAAACGTGTCTCTAAGGGACGTTGTGAGGATGGTTTGAAGTATGGAATAGAAAACATCACCTAGTAATGCTTTCACACGCAAGGTTTTGACCAAGGAAAGAGGTCCTTCTGTGGGAACCTAGAGACCGGGAACTGAGTAGGGGCAAAGGGAAGCCTGTCTCCGGTGCGGCGCGAAGGCGGATATTTGGATGTTCGTACTCACCAGCCTGGGGCGGCCTCTCAGGAAGAGGCGGGCGCTGGCCCCGGTAGGGGGCGCCCGAGCGCCGCACTGCAGCATCCTGGCGGCCTCTCCGGGCTAAGCTCGCGTCCTGCCGCAGTCCCTCGGCGGCTAGTCTGAGCGAGTGGCGGCGAGGAGATCCTGGCCGCTCCGCCAGCACTTGCCGCAGCTGCCGCCTCTCCCACCCGCTATCGCAGCCCATCAGCTGGGAAACGCCCCCCGCCCCCCGCCCCCGGCAGACTGGGCTGCGCAGCGTGGAAGGGTTAGCGGTCCCGGAGGACCGATTCCGAACTTGCAAGGGGACCGCGGCTCTCCCGGGCCTGGAGAGTATGAACAGGTGAGTGTCACGCACGTGCCCAGGTGGCTCTTTCGGGATTGCTTCCTGCAGACCCTTTCGAGCCCCTGAACGCTCGGCCTCTGGGGCGGTCCTCCTGGTCACTGGGTCCTCCCATGCGGGGGTTGTGGGTCACTGAGAGGGAGATGTGAGCGCCGGCGCCCAGAGCTTGACAGCGCCCTCCGTCCGAGCTGAGACCGACCGAGAATGCCCTTTTGACTTAGGCTGCATTTGCTCCCTAGGTCGAGAGCAAGTGACCTGCAGTCCACGATGGGCTTGTTTGTTTATCCTTCCAGGATACCTGTTGCTTTTCGAGCAACGGTATAGCCAGGGGTCTCGTACAATCATCCTCATTCCTGCGCGTGCTGCGTTGTGATAAGATAAGGGAGAATTTATGACAATGAGACCAGGAAAACTTGATTTCAGAGCTAGAGAAGGAGCGGCCCAAAGAGAATCTCATTCCCATGATCAGACTAGATTCTTTGCTTCCCTAAACACCTGCACTTTATTTTGATGAGACCATAAATATAGAAGTTACAAAACTATTACCGTATAAAAATGCTTGCTTTTTTTTTTTTCCAAAAGGAAATAGAAAGCATGGACCTTGATAAGTGTAATAGTCTTGGGATTGATTTATTATGGATAAATCATTATTTTTAAATAAATATGAAAATAGGGCTCTTAGTGAACTAAATGTCATAGGCCTATTGAATTGTAAGCTCCTTGAAGGTGGCTATTTAGCATAAATGCGGGATGAATCAATGCATGCATTAATAATGTAACACAGAATTTGGAGTCTTGCTTTTTTCTCTTCTTTCTAAGCTTTCTTTTGGTACCTTTATGTTTAAGAAAAACCTTTAATCTCTTAAATACCTAAGTGTGATTTTAGCTTTAGGAGTGATTAGAACTAAGAAGTTTTTGTCCTAATAAAGCACTGTCCACGTAAAAAGTGGATGGCACCTTCAAGACCCAGCCAGAATATTTCTGCACAACAACATGAAAAAAAATGTTTTCTTCAATCCGTGTTATGGAAGGTCTTGGATCATGAATTATTTTGAACATCAGAGACTTGGCAACAGGTCCCTTATTAAAACAACTTACACATTTATCTTTGTTTTCTATCTTTATCAAGTGTAACTTTTCACATTTTCATGTGAGAAAATGTTGAAGGATATATGTTAGTTTTGTGTCTTCCTTTAAGGGATTTTTCTAAACATAACCTAAGATTTACAATAACTAGCTACATCTTTATTAGGTTATGTATGAAAAATTTAACCTACACAATTTTTCTTTCTTATGTGAAATTCCTATGCCTCTGAGGCCATTTGGGAGTTACTGAAAAATTTAACTTAACAAATGTTTTGGTTTTTTTTTTTTTTTAAACCACATTTGATGGCTACTTTCTTGAGACGTAAATCAGATAGTAAATTATTTGGATTTTTATGTGCATGGGAATGAACAGTTCTGTATGAAATAACAAATTGTTGTTTATACAAGCTCCAGACACTTGCATGTTCTATGTTGCAAAGAAATGCTCGGAATTTATTTAATTAATACATCTCGATACATTATGCTTCTGTGATGAACCACTGAGCCTTAAGCATAGAGGCCTTTTTTTTTCTTTTTGATTTTCAAATTTTTTAGATTGTATCTTTTTCTTTTTTTAACATCTTTATTGGAGTATAATTGCTTTATAATGGTGTGTTAGTTTCTGCTTTATAACAAAGTGAATCAGCTATACATATACATATATCTGCATATCTCCTCCCTCTTGAGTCTCCCTCCCTCCCACCCTCCCTATCCCACCCCTCTAGGTGGTCACAAAGCACTGAGCTGATCTCCCTGTGCTATGCAACTGCTTCCCACTAGCTATCTATTTTGCATTTGGTAGTGTATGTATGTCAATGCCACTCTCTCACTTCATCCCAGCTTACCCGAGGCCTTTTCGTAATGAATGCATATAAAATGACAAATAATGAAATTCTTTTTATCTTTAGCCAAAAGCGTGGGACTGGACAAATTACAGATGTAAAAGCTTCTGGTTTTTGTACTATTAATGATCACTAGGGAGTTTGTTCATTATTGGGATGAAGTAAACAACAGCCAATGTTATTGTTGACCTTTCTGTCCTTCGGAGGAAGCTCTGGCACTGTGGAAATCAGCAAATACAAAATTTGTGAGGTTCAGGTCCATAGTTTAGATGCTAATGAAGGAGACAATTCCACGTTAATGTCTTTGTAGAAACACTTTTTCAGAAAGACTTTTACATTTTTCTTTCTCTGGAAAAGCTCTTTTTGAAAACTTGTAGATGCCAAAACTCTGGCAGGAACAGTTCATGTGTTTAGATAACAGACTTGAAAGTGAAGTCTTGTACCTAGGTTGAAAACATCGATAGCGGAAGTTCAGAATAGGGGGGCCTGCAATTCACGTGAAAAATGGGAGCCTTAATATGAGTGTGCTGGAATATAACTACAGTGCCAGGTGAAGAGGAGGAAGAATCGTATGAAACTTTTGCTGGGTCATCTGTCAGGTCATATCTCAAGGGGCGAATGCAGAGGATGCCACATTTTTAGAGTGAATAAAATGGCAAATACCAGAGAAGAGAGCTGAACATGGTCAGGAGGGAAGGTGAGGGTCAAAAAAACATAAACGAGAACAGATGTCCCATGAAGAACCGGGGAAGATGATTGGGTCTCATTTTCCTAGAAAGTAGACATCTAGAATGGGGCAAAGGTTCCTAATAGCTGCTTGGCTGCTTGAAGGGCTCTGAGCGAAAGAAAAGAAAAAGTTGATTTAATGCTTCTCCTCTCCTCATACCTGGAAGTGATAAATTAGACCCAGGATGGTTGTTAGATGGTTGTCTGATCAAAAAGGAAGGCTGGATGGATTTTTCCATTGACTCCAAGGCTTTTTCCAATTTTACATTTCCATGGTACCAAGGACCTAGGTGTCCTTCCTAAAGCAACCCAACTATATAAAATGTGCTTACATTGTATATAATGTCATTTCCCAAGTGTCAGGACAGTACCATAAACTGATTTACTTGAGGTTGTCATAGAAAAGGAATCAGAAGTCAGCACATGGCATTTATCTTTTGTGTACCAGGGCATTGTGCCCAGAAAAATATAAAAATATTATCTAGATGTTATATATCAATTTTGGAACATGAGTATCTGTCACATGATTCAACCATGTGATCTAGTGTGAACGGAGATAAAAGGTAAACCTTGGAATGCAAATTCAATCATATTACAATGGGATACACTAATATGAATGTGTATTATTCAGCCCAAAGGGAAATAAGAGTTCCAAATGTGACTCTCCCCATGTGTGTATGTGTATTGGATGTTTGCAGACATATGGTAAATACATGTATTCACAGGCAAGTATTTGTTATCAATTACTGACAAAAAACATTCTTTGAGGAAGTACTTTTGAAAATGCTATTTTGTGTAAAAATGCATTTTTTTAGAACCAAACAGATCTATGTGCAAGTCCTGGGTCTATCACTTCTTAGTTGAATGGTTTACAGTATATTGCTAGAACCCTCTCGCAGGATTGTGGTGAAGATCGACAGGGAAGACGTTGATCGAGTGAATGGTGCTGGCACATAGGAGATGCTTTAATAAATATGAGTTTCTTTCTCCAGTCAGTTATGAATTCCCAAATCTCTTTTGTTGAAGGACTGCTGATTTACAATGATATGGTGAAACCAAGGGCTGGAACCTAAAAGATCTTCTCAGCTCCTTAGTTTGAACCACAGTGAATTGTCTACCAGCAGGCGGCATGGCTAAAAGTTCAGAGGTCAAACTGGCAATATTTGGGAGAGCAGGCGTGGGCAAGTCAGGTAAGATTTTTGTGGCGGTTGTTTGTGTGTGTCTGTCCTGTTCTCCTGTGTTGCTCTTTTAGATGAAGCCTCTTTCTCTTTATCTGAAATTTTCATTTTGCATAACCAGGTTTTATGTCCTCTTTTGCTTCTTTATGGTAAAGAAGCTCTGCTGGTAATACACAAGGCAATGGGTACATCACAGGTCTTGGTATTCTGAGGAAGGATGTTCAACTTCCAAAGAAATCAGATTGTAGAAATTTAAAAATACATTTTTTAATTTTTAAAAAATACATTTGCTCTTTTTTTCTCTATATGAGATCTTGAAGGGCCAATGTAATATCTCATCAATCTTGATATTTTCAGCAACTGGCTCAATGTCAAGCATGTGTTGGGTGCTGAATAAATGCTTGCCGAGGGAATATATCTTTACAAGAAACAGAATTGTATTATCACCCAGCACGTCTAAAATTGGGGAGGACTGGTGAAAGCTGGGGCGTGTGTGACCTCAAGTAAGATAGCTATTGCCGGAACCTCTGGGGTGAATTTCAATGATCCAGTTGTGGCCCACGTTGGTAATTCAGAGGCTTTTGTATTTCACACCTCAGTAAAGGTTTGCAGACCTTTAAGATGAAGGGTGAAATGGTGGAAGTGAAAATGTATCTAATGTATCTAATCCAATTTGAGAAATGGATCTCAGATTTTATAATTAAATGTTAAGTACGTGTTGCTGAAATAGGGCAACGTGGTTTTTCAGAAAACGTTGCTTTGATCTCTCACTGGAGGAAAGACTCATAATTGACTTTGCCCATTGAGCTCTTTGTTCTCAGGAAAGGACTCAAACAGACACCTAGTAGGTGTGTGTTTGTAGAGGGAAACCCATTCGGACCAGCCAGTACAAGTCATCCACATAATCCTAAACAAACACGCACGAGCAGCTTTTATTTCTGTGGCCAACCTCTCTTTCCAAACCGGCTCTCTGGTATAATTTCAGCAATAAATTTTCCCTATTCTAAGTTCTAAGTCTTTCTCTCTCCCTCTCTCTCTCTCTCTCTCTCTCTGTCTCTTTTCTTTTTATTTTCTCAAGAGGGCTCTTTTCTGCCATCACCCTTTTCTCCTGCTTGCCACTTGCTCTGGCCTCTGGCAGAAACCAAGCAAAAGAAAAGATAGTTGACAAAGCTAGGAAACTGCCAGCCTTCAGGAGATCGAAGATCGTTAAACTCCTTCCTCAGTGTTAATCTCCTCAGTGTTTCCTGATGGCGTGAGAACAAACAATTTCTGTAGCTGGTGGAAGGCTCTGGAGAATGAGGAAACTGTTCCAGTGAGTGGAGGACCAAGGCGATGCTGTGTGTGGGAAGACATGTTCTAACAAGAGCTGGTCTAAATTTTTCACGACCGAGGGATCTAGACTTAGAGCTCAGTGTTTAACATTCATGCATGCAAAATTTAACACAGGCAATAAGGGAAGGGGAATTTTTACCCTTATATCATTTACCAAAATAAACTCTGCATCATTTGAAAAGTGAAACATAAAAATAAAAATCCAGTGGAGAGAACCACTTAACTCTATGCACCGTATACCCACCCTTTTTCATCTGTATTATCTCAGAGCAAACTGGGTATCTCTTCCTGTCAAGGCTGATCCATCAGGTAGACCTCAGTTTCCTTTGTCTTCCCCCAAGTTGTTTCAATTATTTCTTCAAGGATTCTTCTCATTCTCTACTGACCTTTTCCCCTTGAGCATTTCTTTGTCCACTACTCCATCTTTTTCTTTTCTCCAAGGTTATTGAACTTGGGTTCTGCCTCACTGTCTTAACTTTTTTGGACTTCCCATTCATTGCTTAAACATGGCAATCTTCCACTGTGATTATGCTGCTGAAACTGCTTTTGTGAGGGTCACCACAGATCAATAACCAACCAATCTTATGAATCTTTCTCAGTTCTGATCTTCTTAGAACTCTTGTTACCGTTCAACATAACCACTTACGCTTTCCTAAAACTCCTTCCTTCCCAGGCTCCCACGACATCACACTTCTTGGCTTTCCTGCCACCTCTCCATTGACCCTAAGCAGCCATCTTCATGCGCTGCTTTTTATTGGCCTACCTCTCTCAAAGATTGGGGCTCTCAGGTTCTACATACCATCCTCTTGTCCTCTCACTGCAGACCCTCTCCCTAGGGGGAAGCCCTCAGACCCAGAGCTGAAGATGACACCTGCACACAGAGTCCACATTCTGTTGACCTTGGTTTTAATTTATGCAAAAGGGCAGAAGTTGACCTTGTTCATTTAGGTCCTTTCCAACTCGAAAATCCAATGACTCTTGATTAATGACTCTTCTTTGGACTGGTTTTCCTGTCCACCTTATATACATTCTACCATGCGTGTTTATTTTCATTTAGGTGAAAATGACAGTGATAGACCACATGCCTTTAAACAATTGCCTTTTTGTCCATCATCTATAAACAGACAGTGTTTTCCTATTTCAACATGAGACTGTTTTCCTGAGACCTTGTAACCACACCTCCCATTTATAAAGTAGACCGGTTTGACTTATGCATGGGAGACAGTTCTGAGACCTTTTCCCATAGTTCAGTGAAAACAACCATAGAGTACTTCATATCTCAGCTCTCAACTTTGAAACCAGACTTTGAATTCACGTTTATAATAATTCTTAATTAATATGGATATCTCTGCCTAATCACTGTATGCCACCTTCGCCTTCCTATTGTACAGATTCAATTTGTCTTATAAGTAACTTTTGTTTTTTTAAGTCCGCAAGAAATTATACCTGCCGGAATGTAACTACGGCTTCTCACTTACTCAAATGCCTCCCCCAAATGGTCATGACCCATCCGTGGGCTCAGACAATCCATTTCTCACCAGACATTCCTGAAAAGGGGCAGCAGCTTGTGATCTTGGAGTGGTAGAAACTGAGCGTCTCTGATTTGAACCTGGGTCTGTGTGAATTGCTTCAGAGGCTTCAAGCCTTACCCGGCCCATCTGCTTTCCTGCACACTCAATACCAATTTGGAATTTGGGGTAAATAAGACCATATTGGCCATTTGTTAATGGAGTCAAGAACAGGAGAACTGGAGTCACACTATTAGGTCTGACTCCCAGTTCTACACTTTATTAGCTGTGTGAATTTAGCAACTTTAACAAGGTACTTAAATTTTCAATTTCTGCAATTACATGAAGGATGTAATAGTGCTTATGTCAAAGAGTTGTTGTTAGGACTGGCTGAGTTATTACACGCAAGTCTCTTAGAACAGTACCTGGCACACAGTAAGTGCTCGAGTATATTAGCTTTTATATTATTACAATTTTTCAAGGTGTGTGCTTTTTCATTGGTAAGTTGTCTAGTGAAACCATACAATCAAAGATGTATCTACATTCAAGTGGGTATTTGGGTTTTCAGTAAAAGTCAGAAAGCTTAGAAGAAAAAATTTTGTATTGCTGCTCAGCACACCCTAAACACACATACACACACACACACACACACACACACACACACACACACACACACACACACACTTTCTCAGTCTCTCTCTTTCTCTTAAATCCAGAGTCTGGTTTATGTCAATTACAGCTTGACCACTGCTGATCATAACAATACTTCTGGCTAATATCTTGGAAATCTTAGAAAAACAGCCAGAAGTATTATGGTGTCATCAATAAATTAGCACCGTTAAATTTGAAAGTGCTTCTGGTATGTGGTAGATGGTTTCCTAAGCCCAGGTTACAGATAAGCCTTCCATGTTTAAAACAGAATTTAACGTTAACCAGAAGTCTTTGGTTGACAGGTTGACATTAGAAGCGTCAGCACAGGAGAAATTTAATAATGTGCTAATTACAAAACATGTCGGGTATGTGTACATGTGTGTGTATATTGCAGTATTTACAGGGTCTTTTGTATCAGGAGGATTCTTCTTCCTTCTGTCTAGTTTTGGCAGTTCTTGCAGTTCTGTCTTCAAGTGAGCTTCCTGGCTTGGCGAGCCTGCTGGTTCAGCATGGGGAACACTGTGTGGAATCTTCAAAGTGGAGAGCCAAGTTTTCCCAGCCCTTTGCTTCTTGTCTTGCCCCAGCAGAGTAAACGTTTCCCTTCTCTGGCTAAGGGTAAGGCAGCCAGTAATAACATGGCATGTAGGGCATAGATTTCCTTACTCGTGTGTGCCAGCCTGTAATGTGGCAGGCTCCAAGTAATGAAAGCAAAAAGACCTGCCATAAAACCTAGAATGCACACCATATTTATGTAAATGCTTCCTGGATCCACATTATTCGAATGTGTAGTAAGTGGGAGGAGTCGAGAGAAAAACAACTGAAATTTTCAGTTGCATTTCACAGTTGACGTTCTCATTTTAGGAATGAAATATTGTGTGCCATAGCTAAATATATTTCTTGAAAGGGATAGTCTCAAAGTTAATGGAATAATGCTATTCTCTGATTCAAAAGCCAATTGATGCACTCGTCCGTGAAGGCTTAAGTTCTTAGACTCAGATTGCTGGGCTATGAATTGGGTGCCAAACACAAACAAGCATGTGATACAGTTTACCTTGGCACAAAGAGATTTATTTTTTCTTCCTTTTTCTTGTTCTTGTTCGTTTTTCCCCCTCTCTCTCAATTATTAAAAGTTTTAAAAAGCCTTTTCATTTTATTTTCAAGTGGGACAGGCAAGGACAATTCTGATTTTAAATGTGACTTTTCCAATGAGCACCAGATACTGCTTTAACATATATGTTTCTTTATGGCTGAGTTATGTTTATGAGATCTCATATATATTAAATAAAGACAATATCAATAGCATCTTAGGTAGGTCAATTTCCTTATGCTATAGAGCTCAGCTTTGTGTTTTAGAACTTTTTCTTTACCCAAGTAGCTATACAAGTTCGTTCCCTTCATTTACACTTCATGGTGTAGTATGATGCTTCTTAAACATTGTCTTCAAAGTACTTCTAAAAGAAGGAGGAGAAAGATCTAGGGGATTGGGTCATGCAAGCATCTCATTACAATCATGTAATTATT